CAGCATCTTGGTAAAAAAAAATCATTTGACTATACATGCAAAGGTTTATTTTTGGGTTTTCTCTTCTCTTCCATTGGTTTATATGTCTGTATGTCAGTATCACATAGTTTTAATCACTGGAGCTTTGTATTAAGGTTTGAAATCAAGAACTGTGAATCTTCCAGCTTTCTTCTTCTTTTTCAAGATTATTTTGGCTACTTGGAGTCCCTTGGGATACTATACATATTTTTTAAAAAATGTTTTTTAATTTGAGAGAGAGAGAGAGAAAGAGAGTGTGCAAGTGGGGAAGGGGGAGTGAGAGACGGAGGCATGGAATCAGAAGCAAGTTCCAGGCTCTGAGCTGTCAGCACAGAGCCAGATGGGGAGCCGGAACCTACCAACTGAGAGATCATGACCTGAGCTGAAGTTGGACGCTTAACTGACTAAGCCACAGTGATACTATACGTATCCCAGGTGCCACAGGGATACTATACGTATTTTAAGATGAGTTTTTCTGTTTCTGCAAAAGCATCATTGGGATTTTAATAGGGATTGCATTGAATCTGCAGATCACTATGAGTAGTATTGACATCCTGATGTATTAATTCTTCCAGTCTATACACATGGGATGTGTTTCCAGTTATTTATGTCTTCAATCTCTTTCAGCAATGTTTTATAGTTTTCATTGTACAAGGCTTTCATCTCCTTGGTTAATTCTTAAATGTTTTATTCTTTTCGATGCTACTGTAAATGGAATTGTTTTCATAGTTTCCTTTTCAGGTTGTTCATTGTTAGTGTATAGAAATGCAACTGATTTTTGTGTGTTGACTTTGTATCCTGCTACTTTTCTGAATTCATTTATTAGCTCTAACAGATTTTTTTTGGTGGAATCTTTAGGATTTTCTTATAAGATCCTCTAATATGCATAGAAGGATAGATTTACTTCTTCTTTTCCAGTATGGATGCCTTTATTTCTTTTTCTTCCCCAATTTCTCTAGCTAGACCTTCTAGTACTATGGTGAGTAGATGTGGTGAAAGCAGGCATCATTCCCTTCTTCCTGATCTTAGAGGAAAAGCTTGAATTCTTTCACTGCTGAATATATTTGCTGTGGGTTTTTTATATGTGGGTTTTATTATGTTGAGGTAGTGTCCTTCTTTTCCTAGTTTGTTTTTATTATGAAAGGGTGTTGAGATTTGTTGAATGATTTTTCTGCATCAGTTGAGATGATCATGTATTTTTTTTCCCCTTTCATTCTGTTAATGTGGTATATTATATTGATCAGTTTTCATATATTAAACTATCCTTGCATTTCAGGAATAAATTTAATTTGATTATGATGTATAATCCTTTTAATACACTACTTAATTCAGTTTGATATTATTTTGTTGAGGTACAGAACTTCTCTTTGGTGGAGGTTTTTGCTGAGATTTTTGATTACTGATTCAGGTTTTTAAATTAGTTATAAGTATGGGGCACCTGGGTGGTTCAGTCTGTTGAGCATCTGACTTCGGCTCAAGTCATAATCTTGCTGGTTGTGAGGTGGAGCCCTATGTCGGGCTCTGTGCTGACAGCTCAGAGCCCGGAGCCCGCTTCCAATTCTGTGTCTCCCTCTCTTTCTCTGCCCCTCCCTCCCTCATGCTCTGCCTGTCTCTCTCTCTCTCTCTCTCAAGAGAAGCTGGGGACTTGAACATCTAGTATACATGGCTCTACGCTCATTTAAAACCTGTACCTGGCACTTACTAGTTGTGTGGCCTTGGGCAAGTTGCTTAACTCTTCTGTGCCTCAGTTTCTGTAAAACTGGAATAATAGTAGTACTAAACCCATAGTGTCATTGAGAGTATGTATTAATTAATACATGTCACATATCTGACACATAGTAAATTTGATCTTACACTGAATGATTCTTGACACTTCATTGGGTAAGTGTCTCATTTGTTTATTTAATAAACATAGCACTACCTCTATCCAGACTTTGGCTCTAAGTGCTTAACACATAATCACTCCTGGAACCCTCACAACAACCTTCTGAGGGAAGTGCTATCATTAACCCCATTAACAAAAGAGTAAATTAAGGCACAGAGAAGATTAGTGACTTGCCCAAAGTAAGTGGGAGCTAGGATTTGGATCCAGATAAAGTCTGCGTTTCTTTGTTTGTTTATTTATGAGAGAGGGGGCACAAGTGAGTGAGTGAGAGAGACAGAGAGAGAGAAGTGGGGCTCACCCAAAGTGGGGTTCATGTTTTACCCAAAGCAGGGCTTGTGTTCGCTTGAAGCCGGGTTTGTGTGTTCACCTTAAGCGGGGCTCGAGTTCACCCAAAGTGGGGCTTAAGTCTGTTTTAAATCTCTATGTTATGTGGACCTTTGCAAGCTCTCTTGGCAGCCCTCTCTTCTCAGCATGAAAGTCATAAGACATTGGTGATAAAAGGTAGTGTAGGCTGATGCTAGCCATGGAGAAATTAATATCAAAGATGGATGGGGCTTTACAAAAGTCTTCACATAGATGCTAAAGAAAAATAGATACAAAGATCCTCTCCTACCTCCACAGTCACCCAGACTTCCAGAAATGTATGTGTTCGTGGAGGGGAGGGTCCTGCAATTCCACAGTGTCTTGCTTCTGTCTATGTTACCTGCAGCAAAAAGAAAAGAAAAAAGAAAGTACTCCTTGAATAGGAATTCAGTGATAATGTTCTAAATGTACCCAACTTATGGCTAGGGGCAGAACACCCTGATCTGTCACAGCCAGAACCATGATTACATTCTGAGTCTTTGAAATCTGTTCTGCCTATTGCCTGCCCAGTGCAGGAGCTCTGGGGTTCCCAGAGACCAGGAAGAAGAGCCACCAGCCAAATAACCACCAGCTTCCAACTTGAACATCTTCAGAGGTAGGTAGAGGTCAGAGCATTGGGGCTAGAAGTGGGAACTTGAAAACACTTTTGTTTGTGGTTTGGTTGGATGAGTTCCCTGTCTAAACCAGGCCTCCAGATCATGCCAACACTATCCCTGTATAGAAGAAATTATTGTCCTTGTTGTTCAAATGGAGAAACTAAGAGAGAGGAAGATGACGTGGATGGACACTGTGTCCCTTCATGCGTGATACCCTGAGAAAAACACTGAAATATTATTCCTGAATAAGGGCCATGATAAATGATATTTACTTTCAATTGTTCAGAAAAAATATCTAAACATATATGAAATATATATATGTAAGAGGAGGAGAGAAGGAGGAGGTAATTATGGATAAATTCTTAAAATAGATGATTCCGAGCAAGTGGTATACAGATGCTCTTTGTACTATTACTCTTGTAACTTTGAACTTATTTTCAAATAATAGCTCTTCAAAAGTTAAAGGCAACCCATCTAATGGCCCATGTGCCTGAAATTTTATTTTCCTATTTTATAATTTTCCCCATATGCCAAGGAAGAGAGTAAGTCAGCCCTTCTAAAGAGTTTTGCACCTTTGGAAATGTCTCTACACATTTTGCCTGTTTTTGAGCATTTGAAGAGCTTTCAACCAACGTATGTACGTTACCTTCTGCTTTGTTGAAAATATGGAAGCAAAAAGAAAGACTCTGAGGGAAAATTGGTCACTTGCCAGGAGAGAGACAATTACTGCCTTGTGACTGTATAATTCATAGTATCCAGACGTCTCCTTTTCTTTGTTTCTTTTATCTGTCTTTATGTTTGGCCTCATGTGTGGGAAACACCAGGCCGGGAGCTACAGAAGAGTAGGGAGAGGGCTGAGAATTTGGGGAAACAGTACTTAACCTTTCCTTCAGAACCCTGAATCTCATCACCAGTGAGCTGCCTAAAATAACAGCCAGCATTTATTTTGCACATTCTGTGTCCCTGGTTCTAAACCCATTCTTATCTTTCCTCCTTCACATTGATATCCATCTATTATTATGTATTTCTTTTATGCATCTTGTTTATTTTCCATCCCCTGTATTAGAATGTAAGCTTTACGAAGGCAGGGATTTTTGTCGCCTTTGTTCATTACTGTATCCTCGGTGCTTAGAAGAGCGTTGGGCATATAGTAGTCACTAACTGTAAGTATTTGTGGGAAGAATAAATTTAGGACAGATGAATGAAGTATGGACACCCCCCTCTCTACTCCTTACTCACCAGAACTAATTCCAAATAGGTCAAATAGTTAAAAAAAAAAAAAAAGACCACAATAAAGTCAGTGAGATCAATGTTCACTCTTCTAGAGAAGAAAAGAGAGTCTGAGCTTAATAGTTACAATAGCTGCCACTTATTTTGCACATATTCCACGTGCCAGACCCTACGCGTGGTGCTTTATATACTCAACATTTGCAATGTGGATTGTAATATCACCTCCATTCCATGTTACAGGTAGGGAAACTGAGGCTCTGAGAAGTTAGGTGGTAGGCCGGTTCCAAATTGTAAATTAAGCTCAATGTGTTGGGGTTGGGTTTCAAGCCCAAGTCTCTCTGATTCCAATGCCCATGTTTTGTTCTCTGTCTTATACGATATTGACAGTCTTCAGTGTGGTAACAGGTGGGAGGGAATTTCCCTTTTATGGTGAGACAAGATGTACATCCTATTTGCAGAATAAGCCAGTCTTAATGGAGAAGAAAATTGGCAACAACTATGTAGGGTTTGAAATAGGCAGTACCCTTTACTCAGGACTTGTATACCTAGACATTTGTGCTCTGAAGCCAATCCTGGATTTGACTGAATTTCAGTTGCAATATTCCTTTTGACTCTTTCCTAACAGAGAGAAATTACAAATTTTCAGATCTCTTATGATCAATGGGAAAGTATGAATGAGCTATGTAACTAGTATATTGGGAAGATGTTCACAGGGAGTGTTACTGATAGTATGGTGAAAAGCTTGTCCTTTGTCTCATTTAAATTTATTTATGAAAGCTACTTCTTTTCCTGACTCCGTGTGAGACCTTGAGTGTAGAACTTGACTTCTAGATGCTGCCTAAATTTAGAATATATAAAAAGAGTCTAAACCTATGCAACAGTCAGAATACTAAAATTGAATTGAAATCATGGCTTCCCCCACACCTAGAAACCTGAAACTGGGGAAGAGAGTGGACGGTTTCCTCTTCTCCTACAGCTGGCTAAATGCCATTTTGGAGATGGAGGAGGGAGAAGAGGTGAGGAGGTCAGGACAGCTCTTTCTGGCAGGGAGTATTGTACCTTTGTGCTTTGTGCTCTCTGGACTTTAGTATTGCTTAAAGTTTACTCTGTTGTGGGTGGTTTCAAAAGGGTTCTTTTGAGTTTTCCCTCAACCCCAACTGATGCAAATTTCTCTCCTGTGGTTCTCCTATTATGGTTCTATCTACCTCCTTTCTGACACCTTTTCCAAGTCTGAGGCATCTGGCCACTCACTTTCTACTTCCTTATGCTGAGGTTCCATGGCCTTCCCAGGCAGCCTGCCTGACATGAAGCTAGTGCAAACCTACATTGGCTTTCTTGCATATGTTGCCTTATCAAATGCTGTAGCACAAGCTGTAGTCTCTTGCTTTTGGCCATAGGTCACTTCAACCAGCCTCCTGACCTTTGTTCCTTTGGTATTTCTCAGATACCTGCTACTGTGTCTCCACAAAACCTCAGGGGTGCATAAAAAGCTCTATGGGAGGTATTCTTTTTTTTTTTTTAATAGCTTATTGTCAAATTGGTTTCCATATAACACACAGTGCTCATCCCAACAAGTGCCCTCCTCCATGCCCATCATCCCCCTGCCCGTCTCCCCCACTCCCTCAGTTTGTTCTTAGTATTCAAGAGTCTCTCATGGTTTGCCTCCCTCCCTCTTCTTAACTATTTTTTCCCCTTTCCCCTCCCCTATGGTCCTCTGTTAAGTTTCTCCTGTTCCACATATGAGTGAAAACATATGGTATCTGTCCTTCTTTGCCTGACTTATTTCACTCAGCATAACACCCTCGAGTTCTGTCCATGTTGCTACAAATGGCCAGATTTCATTCTTTCTCATTGCCATGTAGTATTCCATTGTACAGATAAACCACATCTTCTTGATCCATTCATCAGTTGATGGACACGATTAGGCTCTTTCCATGATTTGGCTATTGTTGAAAGTGCTGCTATGAACTTTGGGGTACATGTGCCCCCTGTGCATCAGCACTTCTGTATCCTTTGGGTAAATTCCTAGCAGTGCTATTGCTGGGTCATAGGGGAGTTCTATTGTTAATTTTTTGAGGAATATGGGAGGTATTCTTAAAGCCTTTCTGGTGACTTGGAATTAAAAGAGCACAGCAGTTGGGACACCTGGATGGCTCAGTCAGTTAAGTGTCTGACTCTTGATTTCGGATCAGGTCATGATCTCACAGTTTGTGATTTTGAGCCGTGTGTTGGGCTCTGTGCTGACAGCATGTAGTCTGCTTGAGATTCTCTCTCCTTCCCTCTCTCTCTCTGCCCCCCCATCTCTCTCTCTCTCTCAAGGTAAGTAAACTTTAAAAAAGAAAATAAAAGAGCACAGCATTCTTTAAAAATGAGAGAGAAAGATGGCCAAAAAGTGGTTGGCTACTCTTAAAATTCTGACTTGTTTTAAAGGTAGAAAATGGATAGGAATTTGACATATTTTTTGTAGGTGATTTTTGAGCATGTCTTCTTTAAAGTGTAAGTTGATCTGTCTCACATGCTCACTTTAGGGTCTATCTGAAGGTCTTGGCCAAAACTATAATTTTAATATCACATTACAGATTTTTACATAAAAGGTCAAGATATATAATAGCAAGCCTGATAGCCTGATTTTGTTTTCATGTGCATATATAAAAGACAGAAAAACATACACCAATATAGTGGGGTTACCAGAAATATTTCATTGTCGTCTTTGTATTTTTCTATGGTTTAAGAATTTTGTAAGCTGGATCCGAATTATCTTCTAATCAAGGGAAGGAAGCGCATTTTTTAAAAACACATTTTCAAAATAATTTTTTTTTTCCGCAAAAGAAAGAAGGCATGAAGTGTGAGATGGAGAGAAACCTTTCAGCAAAGCCAATGTTCAGCTTAGGTGTGTGCCTTTTGCCGAGTGGGTGGAGGCAAGGAGGTATGAGTAGACAAAGAGGAAGGAAATTCCACGAACACTTCTTCTTGCTTCACAATTCTGTTTATATTTCTTGGTCTCCAGCAGCAACTGGAAAGGGGAAAACATCCTGGCAGTATATATTCAGACACATACGGTCAGCATCATGAAGCTCTGGACACCTCAACTCATGATATTCCTCTGTATGGTGCTACTGTCTGTGCTGGGAGGGATGAAAAAAAAACACAGCTGTAGGTGACTAGGCTGGGCTGGGGGGAGGGTTAAAGGGGTGGGGGAGCTGTGCTTGTGTCCGGGCAGGTGAAGGGGTATTGTGTCTGGCACACCCGACTCAAGACTCAGGACCTTCCCCAGATCACCTATTGGAGATTCAGATTTTCTTATGCACAGAGATCCAAGAAGAGTCGAAGTTGAGGTCCTTTGATGCTTCCTTTCCAACCTTGAAAGTGGCAATGGGTACCTGTTACCTTTTATGTACATTTCATATGTTATAAGGATATAATATTTTCCCATGTCAGGCTACCATAACTTTCCATACTTCCAGAAGCTCTGTGTCTTAGCTGTGTGTCCTTTGATGAGTCCCACATGGGGTTTTCTTGATATATACACTTAATTTCAGTGACAGGATCTTTCTGAGTGAGAAGACACATGAGGTGAGGCCCTAGTGGGGCAAAGTTGGGGGCCATGTGATGAGAAAATGGAATCGGTCGAGGGTACCGAAAATTGAGAGAAAGAAGAATTTGGTGAGAAGCTGCTCTTAAAGGTGGGGTCAGCAAGGAAGAGAAGAAAAGGAGAAAGAATCTGTTCCTTACTCTCCCTGATCTGACTTGCCACACTAAGAAGTAGGTATGGTAATAAGACTAGAGGCTACCTACCCTGAGGTCTCCTGTTACAGAAATGTAGATTTCGCTGGAAGACACATGAACGTGGCGGGTATGAAGAGCCTGTCTCCAGGATGCTTGGCGAAGGCCCAGAGGTCTGTGGGAGCAGAAGAGATCCATGAAGACAATGGGGAGGCTCAGCAGGGGGGTTTTCTCATAAGGCAGATGGACAGTCAGGTGGGGCTTGGAGGGGCTCTGGTTCTAGGAGGAGCCCTTAAGCTTATGAAGGACTTCTCTTCTCACCTTGGTTATGTTGACCCTGTCAGCCTCTTCCCATATCATCTCAATTACAGGGGATGAAACGTTAATTGAGGAGTGCTGGGGAGATCCAACTGTTGTTGAATGTACCAAGAAGTGTTCTAGAACCTTTAAATGTGTAGACAAAAATCACACATGCTGCTGGACTTATTGTGGAAACATCTGCTGGAAAAATAAAGTGAGTTGGGAGGTGTGTTTGGGCACGGGTCTTCACTCATTCTCAGATGCTGTTAATCGTAAACAAGACTGAGGGACCACAAATCCTAGGCACAGAAATAGTGGAAGACAAGGTCCCCTAAGCCTGGACAAGCAGTTCACTGGCATATGAACCAAGACACCAGCTTGGGGCATATTGTTCATTATATAATCAATGCCTGTGTTGTCCTCATTATGTTACTCAATTGTTTGCTCTTTTCCTAATTTTTGTCCAAATTTCTAACCACTGCCTCCATAGTCAGACCTTTCTATGAGCCCTTTTGGCTCAGCTGGACCCCAAATCTCTACCTTTCTCTGTTCAATGAACCAAGCCCACCTCTCCACCTCAGAAGTGGAAAATTCTTGTTACAAAAAGTACTCCTGCCCCAGGCTTCCATCTGCCATAGATGGGTAATATTAAGCTTGAGAATGAATGCTTGTTCCTCAGAGTTCCCCAGCCTCTGAGTATGTAACCTTTCTGTCTTGTAGGAAATCTTTGAAAGACGTCTGAAACCCTAATCTCCAAGCTGGACACCAGTCTGTTCTCACTGAGGGCTGGGCAGGAGCACAGCCTTGACAAATAAACTCATTTATCAACAGTGACTTTTGGCTTTTTCAGCTCCATTCCACTACCTTTGATTGCCTTGTTATATTTTCCCTATACTTTCCCCATCCTACAGGGTACATAGCTTCTGACTCTTGCTTACTCATTTGATAACCATAGAACTGACAGGCTAGGGGCACCTGGGTGGATCAGTCAGTTGAGCATCCAACTCTTGATTTTGACTCCGGTCATGATCTCACAGTTTGTGAGATTGGGCCCTATGTCAGGATCTGTGCTGGCAACGTGGAGTCTGCTTGGGATTCTCTCTCTCCTTCTCTCTCTGCCCTTCCCCTGCTGGTGTGCTCTCTGTCTCAAAACAAACAAACAAACAAACAAACAAACAAGAACTGACAGGTTAATCTCATGGGCCTCATAGAATAGAAGTTTATTTTTAGTATGTCATATTATTTACTTTGTTTGTTTGTTTATTTATTTACTTTCTGTGGAGAGACAGCATGAGCAGGGGAGAGGGGCATAGGGAAAGAGAGAGAGAGAGAAAGAGAGAGAGAGAGAGAGAGAGAGAATCCCAGGCAGGCTCTGCACTCAGCAAGGAGCCCAACATGGGGCTCCATCTCACGACCCTGGGATCATAACCTGAGCTGAAAACAAGAGTTGGATGCTGAATCGAGTGAGCCACTCAGGCACCCCTCTAGTATGTCATTTTAATGTGGGTAACTGGCCAAGTAGCCCTTTGGTTCAGTTTTTCAGAGAGCAGGACTTTGTCAAATTTGTTTCTCACAGATTTGAGTAAAGAATTCTAAAACGATTTTACATGTATATAAGATTGAACAAATAAGTAAATAAGGGGATGATAGGAGCTGTGTTCCTAACTGTAAGAGAAAAGAAGTTACAAGTAAGCAAAATGGATGGATAGAATGAGCCCTGAGGGTACTGGATTTGAGTTAGAGACATCGTATGAACTGACATTTAGCTCAACATATATACAGAGAGATGGATGCAGAAGTAATGATAGACACATGTGTTTACATGGATCAGTTATACATGTGTATATTTCCTGGCTATGCCAGGAAGCAGTGACACCACTGTAACAATAAGCACACCAGGAGCCCAGGTCTTGGTTTTTATTACCCTTCTCCAGTAAATGGACCAAGGCTTATTAGAGAAATGGTTGATTCTAGAACGAGGCTTAGAAAATACAAGATCAGGGGCGCCTGGGTGGCTTAGTCGGTTAAGCGTCCGACTTTCGCTTAGGTCATGATCTCGCGGTTCGTGGGTTCGAGCCCCGCGTCGGGCTCTGTGCTGACTGCCAGCTCCGAGCCTGGAGCCTGTTTCGGATTCTGTGTCTCCCTCTCTCTCTGACCCTCCCCTGCTCACGCTGTCTATCTCTCTCCTAGAAATAAAAAATTAAAAAAAAAAAAGAAAAGAAAATACAAGATCAGACTGGAGTATCTTTTATTTATTTATTCTTTTTATTATTGTTTTTTTAATGTTTTATTTATTTTTGAGAGAGAGAGAGACAGCGTGAGCAGGGGAGGGCCAGAGAGAGAGGGAGACACAGAATCCGAAGCAAGCTCCAGGCTCTGAGCTAGCTGTCAGCACAGAGCTGATGCGGGGCTCGAACCCACAAGTCATGAGATCATGACCTGAGCCGAAGTTGGATGCTTAACCAACGGGACTGACCGAATGAGCCACCCAGGCGCCCCTGGAGCATCTTTTAGAATCACAAAGTAAGGAAATGCTCTGGAGTCAAAAGAATGGGAAACAGGAACCAGCCTTCAAGAGCTCCCAGGGCCAAAGCCTAGAACATTTTGAGCATAAAATTGTCACCATTGATCTATTAGAACAAAACACTACAAAGCTAATGGAAAAATAGCAGACAGCTTCAATGTAACACTATTATTAAAGAAAACGGAACAAAGAAAATGGAAACATTTCTACTGAAAAAAAAAATTCTCCCAACAGAAATACCTTGTCAGGAAGAAAAGTGTCATACAACACTTGCAACTTTAATTAAATATCTGTAAACAAACATTTTGACGGATGAAAAAAAACCTTGAATCAGAAATTTAGAAATTCAGGGACAACTGGGTGGCTCAATTGGTTAGGCAACTGACTTCGGCTCAGGTCATAATCTCACTGGCCCCCTTCCCTCCTCACCCCCTTAGTCCATCACCTACTCTGCATCCCGTTCAGTTTACGGTGCCCTCCTTGGGCCTGTAGCAGCAGCACAGAGAGGAGCAGGAGGGGCAGCAGAGCCTGGGTTGGCATGCCTCTGGCCAGAGCAGAGGGCTCGCAGTCTGGGAGAGACTTCCCTGGAGAGCTGGGTGGTTGTCCCGGGCTCCTCCCTGCCTCCGCTGGCCAAACAAGGAACCTTTCCCCTCCTCCCGTATGCCTGCCCCGACCATGGCCTGTTCTCTGGGACTTGGGCTTCTTCAGACAAGTTCTCCTCTCACGTGACTAAACCCTTCTTTGCAAACAATTCTTTTCTACTTTCATTATAAGATAATTTACAGGAAAAAATTAAAAAAGTGTAATTAAAAAATTATGACATTCTAACTGTAGAGAATTGACTTAATTTCTTTGTATTACCATTCTATCTTTTTTGCCTACTGAATATAAATTATCTATTGTTTTCTCACATATGGTCTCCCATCCAAGTACTAACCAGGCCCGACCCTGCTTAGCTTCCGAGATCAGACGAGATCGGGCGCGTTCAGGGTGGTGTGGCCGTAGACCGTTTTCTCACATATGGAATCACCCACCTTTTGTTAACCATCTTGTCCCACCCTCATTTAATCAGGTAAATATTTCCCAATGTGGTTTTCCATAATTAGACACGTCTCACTTAATAGAAATGCCTATTGTCAGGCCTTTGCATTGTACTAATTACTTGTTATCTAGACAGTATGTTCTGTTGAGCATTTTCTTTCTTTTTTTTTTTTTTTTAATGTTTTATTTATTTCTAGGAGAGAGAGAGAGACAGCGTGAGCAGGGGAGGGTCAGAGAGAGGGAGTCACAGACTCTGAAACAGGCTCCAGGCCCTGAGCTGGCAGTCAGCACAGAGCCCGACGCAGGGCTTGAACCCACAAACCGCGAGATCATGACCTAAGCGGAAGTCGGACGCTTTAACCGACTAAGCCACCCAGGCGCCCCACCTCCTTCTGTTTCTACTTGGGAGCGCCCTCCCTCGTAGTAGGAGGGTAGAGCCAAAGAAGGCACCCCCACCTATAGATAGTGCATCCCAATCATCCGGTAAGTAGTTGCTGTTCCTCTCCAGGCGCTCCAGCACCAGAGCGTCTCAGCACCAGCTTGTCTGGTTTCCAGGGCCATCCACAGCAGCACTGGGGACTTCACTTCACCATCATGGTGCCACTTCAATTTCTCCTGGATTGAGAGCCGTTTCCTTCTCCCTTCTCCCTTTTTCTTAAGGACCTCATTTTGGTAACATATACTCCACAGGAGCTTTCTAAGACAGTATGTGAGAAATAAGTAAAATAGAGACTCTTAAGCCTCCATTCTACATTAACATATACTTCAGCTGGTATTTCCATTCAGACTAGTTTTGACTACACGATGACAAGAACAACAAAGAAAATAGTGGCTTAAATAAGCTAGGTCAATATTTTTTCACATGGAAGATTTAGAATTTAGGTGTCCCAAACAAGTGTGGGGACACGACAAGACCATGGGAGATCCAGGCTGCTTCACCTCTTTGTTCCATTTTCTTTGACATGAAGTTTCCATTGCTAAGATCACCTCATGACTCACAAGGACTAAGCAAGATATGAAATATCCTCCTCAGCTGAGAATAAAATTCCGACAGTTAATTCAAATGTTAAATCAAAGTAAGAAAATTCAAACCATAGCCAAACTAGATGAGAATGGGATCCAGTATTGCTCAAAACTGGGTGAGGAAAGATCATGACCTGAGTGGAAGTCGGATGCTCAACTGACTGAGCCAACCAGGCACCCCCATGGTGCACCATCTTAAAAAATATTAATCGAGTTACCGTTTTTCCTACTCTGCAATTCCTTGGTTTTCCATCAAGCCCTTTGACCGTGAAACTAGGACAGGAAGCTGAGGTTTATTTCCCCAGGGAAAAGGTATCACAAAATAAACCAGTGAGGATAGTCATGTTCATGGATCTGAGGTCCCAAATAGTTTTGAAAGCCATTACTGGTCATTGAGAGAGAAAAGTTGTTTCTCTGTGTTTGTCTTGTGTTTGAAATGACAAAGGCTCAGCTTTGGCTATCACGAGTGTGGAGTTCATTCCATAACCTCAGAATTTAGGAAGAAGGCTAAATAAGGTAAGAATAGATCTTGTCCACTGGGAAGGTGTAAATACTTGGAGAGAAAGAAGAAAACTAAAAGACTGGGTTAGGATAGAAATAGAAATATCCAGATATGTTGGAAATCCCAACACACAAATAGGTCCACCAGGTAAACAGGGTATTTGAATATGAATATTTGTTTCCTATTGCTGCTGTAACACGTCATCTCGAATTTAGGAGCTTAAACCACACAAATTATTACCTTATGGATCTGTAGGTCACAAGTCTCACACGGGTCTCTTCTAATTGCAATCAAAGTATCAGCAGGGCTGTGCTCTTTTTGCATTTCCTCTCTAGATGGAAGGATCCATGTCTGTGTTCATTCAGATGGTTGGCAGAATTAAGTTCCTTGAAGTTAGGAGGTGAGGTCTCCATTCCCTTGCCGGCTGTCAGCTGAGGGCTGTTTTCAGCTTCTAGAGGCCACTCGCATTCCTTGGCGTGGGCTGCATTCCTCTGTCTGCAGAGCCAGCAAAGGCTAGCTGGGCCCTCTGCTTCAGGTCTCGTGCTGCAAGTCTCTGAGTCACTGCAGTCAGGAAACATCCCTGCCTTCAAGGACTCATGGTTATACTGGCCCCACCAGCTTCCCCGTCTCAAGGTCCCTGCCTGATACCATGCCAGGTCAAGTAGTCCCAGGTTCCAAGGACTAAGAAATGAGCATCTTTAGATGGGCCTTTATCCTGTTTACCTCTGCTTATACTTAAAACCTCACTAAAATGATGTAGAAGGAAAAAAAAACCACACCTTAATAGGTGAGGAAATGGTAAATAAGCATTTTCAAGAAATTGAAAGCTGGAAAGCAATGGCTAACTAGTAAGTAGCTTACTTCATTAGAAAACAAACTATCCCTCCCCATATGTTCACTTGTTTTGTTTCTTAAGTTTCACATGTAAGTGAAATCATATGGTATTTGTCCTTCTCTAATTGACATATTTTGGTTAGCATAATACATTCTAGTTCCATCTACATTGTTGCAAGATTTCATTCTTTTTGATGGCTGAGTAATTATCTATCTATCTATCTATCTATCTATCTATCTATCTATCATCTATCCCCCACATCTTTTTTAAAATAAAAAAAAATTTTTCTTTCATAGTTTATTATCAAGTTGGTTTCCATATAACACCCAGTGCTCATCCCCACAAGTGCCCTCCTCCATGCCCATCACCCCCCTTCCCTCTCCCCCACCCCTATCAGCCCTCAGTTTGTTCTCAGCATTCAAGAGTCTCTCATGGTTTGCCTCCCTCCCTCTCCCCCACTATTTTCCCCCTTCTCCTCCCCCATGGTCCTCTGCTAAGTTCCTCCCAATCCACCTATACGTGCAAACATATGGTATCTGTCCTTCTCTGCCTGACTTATTTCGCTCAGCATAACACCCTTGAGTTCTATCCATGTAGCTACAAATGGCCAGATTTCATTCTTTCTCATTGCCATGTAGTATTCCAGTGTATAGATAAACCACATCTTCTTGATCCATTCATCAGTTGATGGACACTTAGGTTCTTTCCATGTTTTGGCTATTGTGGAGAGTGCTGCTGTGAACATTGAGGTACTTGTGCCCCTATGCATCAGCACTCCTGTATCCCTTGGGTAAACTCCTAGAGTGCTTTTGCTGGGTCGTAGCCCCCGCATCTTCTTTATCCATTCATCAGGAGACACTGGTGGTGATGAGCACTGGGTGTTGTATATAAGTGATTAATCACTAAAATCTACTCCTGAAACAAACAAACAAACAAACAAACAAACAACAAAGTAAAACCAAACTGCCCGGGGGGATATGTCTGGATTCAGAGGAGTTTAGGGCAGGTGCTGGGTGAGGAATGCAAATCCAGCTGATTTAACCAAAGAATCACAAAATGTCTGAGAACTGAAGCCATCAAGTGTCTGAAGGTGGGGATGTGGATGTGGTTGAAAAAAAACGTTAGGAAAACCGAAACAGTCAAAACTTGCCTTTATACAGTATCTTTATCTTCCGTACGTAAATTAAGCAGTCTCTCACTGTTCTCAAATCTCTTGAAACTTGAGCTTCTGCACAGAACTACCTCCTTTGTCCATTGCCTTCTTCTTGGGACATTTGAGGCTATCCATCACGATTTGCTGTATCAACCTGGTGCTTGACTTCCCCCGCAAAGTGTGCTTAGCAATCATGTACGTATTTCACTAGCATTCAAAAATATTATGCCATGTGGGGCACCTGGGTGGCTTAGTCGGTTAAGCGTCCGACTTTCGCTTAGGGCATGATCTCGCGGTTCTTCGTGGGTTCGAGCCCCGCGTCGGGCTCTGTGCTGACTGCCAGCTCAGAACCTGGAGCCTGTTTCAGTCTGTGACTCCCTCTCTCTCTGACCCTCCCCCTGCTCACGCTGTCTCTCTCTCTCTCTCTCCTAGAAATAAATAAAAAAAAAATATTAAAAAAAAATATTATGCCATGTCCCAGTGACTCACCACTGTGTCTCGAGCCTACAAAACTTTCATAATTCACTTTCTTGTGCACAGAAGAATCATGTGGTCTTTTATGTGTTCGTCATTCTCAAACGCTGATCACTTAGCCACTTTTCTTCTACTAAAGCGGGCTTATCCGGTCCCCCTTGGCTCATGCCAACCTCATTCATATGGTTTAACTTTTGTAGAGATATCTTCACTGAGTAATGTGGGGAAGATGATATCAATAATGCACAATATGTGTAAATAATGTGAGCATGGAACATGCTGAAGTGTGATGCAGGGACTATATACATACATCCTCATGACTGGGTTCACAGGGAACATTTCAACATTTTTGCACGCACAGTTCCTCAGAGGATTTGTTTTAAAAATCTGGATGGATGTGATGCAGGTAAACTCATACTGTGACCCTCAATCTCTCCAATGCGTCCACACTCGGATATTTTTTCCCTCCAGCAATGTGATAAGAACGCCTCTGTTACCCGCCTGGACTTCCACAAAGCTCTGTCATCTGTGGGTGATTGTCTAAATGAGGGTTCTCCCCTGGCTCCTGGACTGTGGTCAAGGGAGGAGAGAGCCAGTTCACAGGCCACATCAGGGGCTCATGCCAAGACTGAGGTCTCTATGCCTATGACCCAACCTCTGGGTGACACTCCTTCACCACAGAGGTACTTCTGTCTGTGGGTGGCTGCCAAATTGTTGTAGGGGGACGATCCAAGCAGGGATGTCTTACTCAGCCATCTTGCTGATGTTACTCCCTAAAAATACTTTAATGGAATTGAGTGATATAAAATTAGTGTATCTCCCAAAATTGTAAATTAAGTATGCTTCAAAAGTGAAATGTGCTGTTATCATTTAGGAGCTAATTCTTGAGCAACACAGAAAAAGTAGGAGAAATTCAGGCTTAGAAACAGTTGTTCTACTTCAAATTTTGTGATCAATTTTTAAAAGTCTCTGGTGATCTTTGGGGTGCCTGGGTGTCTCAGTCAGTTGGGCGTTTACTTCAGCTCAGGTTATGATCTCACAGCTCGTGGGTTCGGGCCCTGCGTCGGACTCTGTGCTGACAGCTTGGAGCCTGGAGCCTGCTTTGGATTCTGTGTCTTCCTTCCTCTCTCTCTCTGCCCTTCCCCCTCTCGTGCTCTATCTCTCTCAAAAATAAATAAACATTAAAAAAAATTTTAAGTTTCTAGTGATTTTTAAAATTTACTTACATTTTGATACTCTTTAATGGCTTTTAAAATATAAAAATGCTTTTACAATAAATATCTTTTTTTATTGGGACATCAATTCTAAAGTTATCTTTCACGAAAGGCAAATGACACTATTATCTATCTAGCTAACGGATGGCTGATCGTACCTTATTGTTTTTTGTTGTACTTTTTTTTGTGTTTTTCGAATTTCTAAAATAAGAAATGATAAAGTTATCAAGAATCCATTTCTGCAATGAGAGGAGTAGAAAGCCTAAGAGCAGGGAAGTAGCTCAGGGGACACGTGTGTCCAGTCAAGGAGCAGTGGATGGAGGAGAGGAGGCAGAACCAGATGGGGCCGTGAGAGACCAGTCACGTGTTTGCAACTCCACACCCCAGAGCCCTTCACTACCCCCTGCAGGACCTGGTGAAGTGCTGGGTCTCCTGCCAGACTCACGCTCAGACATCCAGAGTTAACATCATGAAGTGGTTGTTTCTCCAGCTGCTGACACTCTGCTGCCTGGTGATCTTGCCAGTGGCAGGAAGTTTTAAAAGCAAAACGGAGACTACAACTCCATCTCCAAAATTCAGTAGGTATTCTGGTGGAGCTTCAAAATGAAGAGGGGGTTGAAAGCAGAAGAAACAGGGACTGACTGACATATATGAAAGCACTGGTTCCTTTTGTAAACCAGGATACTGTGGAAAGCTGAATGTGCACTTCTCAAGGTTGAGGGTCTCCTGATGCTACAGGAAATGATGTTTTTATGTGTGTTGTGGGGACTGTGGTGTTTTGTTGAGGAGGACTTTGGAGGTGGAAAGCTCCGCAGGGTACAGAGCATGTGTGGATGGAGCCAAGATTGGGCCACCGGGGGTTTGTGTCCTCCAGTTAGGAGTTCCAAGGGTGAGCACCACATTGGGGAAGGGGTACTCATTATTTCTTGAAATATGCCCTTTGCTTAAGGAATTGGGTATTTTAGAACACTGGGCACGGGGAGGAGAAATAAAACGTGTGCTTGACCCAGAGAAGGTTGGAATATTTGGGGTAAAAGAATTGAAATCAACATAATGGAGGGGAGGGTTGTGGTATCCATATCCAAAAGTTTCTGAGGAACAGCTAGGTTTGGAGGGCTGTCTCACCCAGACACGAAAAGTACAAGACAGTTTTTCTTCTCTGCAATCCTGTAAAATGAGAGCAGGTGACAAGAACATCTCTTGGGGCTTTTTGTTCTGAGAGTTGGGTTTCAAGACTCAGGTCCTGTGATGTTAATTCAGTTCCATGGAGGTCGCTTCATGGTTGCTGGAATTGTTAGCGGATGGGAGCTGGATTTTGAGTCTAGGAATGGGAAAGGCCACCAGATCCCTGGACAGGTAGAAGAAAAGAGAAACCAATGGAATGGGTTCTGGGGCCTTTAAGGGGCTAATAATAGTGAGAAAGTCTTCTTCTTGAAGTCATTGCTCATGTGTTTCTTCTCAGTTAAACCAACGCTAGAACTATTAAGATGTGTGGAAGCTCCTACCCACTACGATTGCAAGAAAAAATGTGACTATCACTCAGATTGTAGTTTCAAATATGAATGCTGCTATTCCAACTGTGGAAAAATCTGCATGAGAATTCCAGATTCTGGTAGGATCTAATAAGCTCCCCTCTCTTGCTATTCAGTTGTCAAAAACTATGGACCCCCTAACTGAGGGGATGGACAGAAGGACACTATTCTTCCCTAGTTCTGGTACCTAGTCTACCTGGGGATCCCCACTTTTTCATCCCAGGCCAAGCTCCAGTTCTCCACTTTCAGACTTATCTGATTTATTCAAACCTCAGGAGGTCTGACATTTATGTGTCTTTGCTCACTGGACTTAAAGCATCTGAGGGAAGCCCTGTGTGGCCATCTTCTAAGCCACAGAAAATATCCTTGCCCCCAGGGTTTGGGAGGAAATGTATTTCACTACACCATGTGGCCAGTGACTACCTACCCCTTCTCTCTTCCAGAGACCAGCAATGGGAACTATGCACCCATAACCGTGGCAGCAGTTACTTCATATCTCACAACTAGCCCTGAAAATGACCATCAGCTATCAGAGTGGTATCATAATAATACTACCTGATGTCCAGAGGAAACTTCTTTTTGTTGCAGCTGGAAAGCAGGGAGAGGGCAGAGGAAGGGTCTCAGGGCAATGTCTCTCCTACTTGACAGCACTCTTCCCTGAATCATTATATTATCAGCCTCAATTCCTTGACAAATAAACTGTGGCAGTAACCCAGAACCTCTGTCTCTTTCTCTTTCGTCCAAGGACAATTTACTACCTCCACTTTCTACCTAAGCCCCTAACCTCTGCCTCCCAGGGCATTTCCCTCCTTCTTAACCTTCAGAAGCTTGTTCTCCTTAGCCAAGACTCCTGGACTCTCTTGGGTCATTGACTAACATCCCCTGGGGAAAACTGCTATGTGTGGGAAGTTCTTATGCCTACAGGAAACACCGTCTCTCTGGGTTTCCCATATCTTGGTGTAGCCTTTTTTTCCTTATTTCAGGCCAGTGCTTCTAGAAGGTTCCTACAAGTGGCCTCCCTTTTAGCCAATCCAGGGAAGTATAATCTTCCTTAAAGGTGACCATGCCCATGGTTTACAGTTGAAAGGAAATGCCATTGGCTTCTCCAAACCCTCCTCTTAGGCATTGCCTCATTTGTTACCATTATCTAGTCAACCACTTGGAATCTGGAGGAATATTTTCAAATGTAAATACTCTTACAAAGAATAGGCACCCTTTAGAGGTCATAGAGAGCCTACACTGTGCTCAGACTGTGGCAAGGGCCACTGCTCATGAGTGCAGGTGTGACTAACTATATCTGTTGGTATTTAGCCCAAGGAACGGTTAGGTCTTACTACCCAAGCAAGCAGAAACCAGGATGGGCAGACAAAAAGGGATGAATGGGGGCATACAGTCAGTGCCTTAGGTATAAATACAGAGGGATTGTCATGTGTCCGGGTCATGGTATCAGGTTTCTTGGAAGAAGAGATGCTTGGTCCCACCTTGAGGGATAGAAAGGAACTGGAGTAGCTCAGAATGAAAGTTAGTTTTCCTCTGTGATGGGATTAAATATGGACTTGGGGGGAAAGGAAGGGAACTTGAAGGAAGTCAAAGGTTGATACCCTAGCCTCCTCCTGCACCCGAAACCAACAGATGAAGTTGCAGACAAGGTTGGATTATGAATTTGGTATTAAGTTCTATGACCCTAGCATGTTCTAATCTGCCAACTTTTCCTTTTGGGTCCCTGTTGTTATACACATAAAACCTTCAGAGCACAAGTTTTGTTTGCTAAAACTAACAAAGGAAAACAAACAGGCACGGACAGGTGGCTGAACCTACTCAGTCTGCTCAGCAGGTTGATGACAAATAGATCCATGGACTTCATTCTCTCAATGCCCTTGTACTCAAGTTTCCTGAAATACATACAAGTTAAGGGCCAGAGATGTGCTTAAAGAGGCATTCTGGTGGGGAATAGGGATGGGAGGGAGGGGTGCTTTTCAGAAAGAGTATTAGGTGAGATGGATGAAGGAGGACAGGTCTGTAGTGTTCTTTTGGACTAGCAAGGGATGACTGCCTTAGGACAAAGCCGGTGAACTGTTTCATCCTAAGCAATTAGCAAAAAGGAGCATTTGAAAAAAAGTCTGGGGCCTCCAGGCAGAGAGGACACTCATAACCCACAGGTGCATTACAGAACACACTGAGCCTTTACGCTCTGGTATCTCACTTCAAAGCCCAGAGTTAACCCACACTGAAAGCAGAAGTGGGAGGTGATTAGTATCTAAATGTTTGACTTGGAGACACCCAAGGGATCTATTTTGATTTTTTGGAAGGATTGTTCCCAAGGTATTGGGCCTGCCATTGCCACAAGCATTATGGACCAAAAGACAATTTGAACATGCTTCCCAGTAACTGATAGAATAGGAAGACAATACAAACCAAGGTACAACAAACCCAGTAACTATCTAATAGATTTGAAAATGCAAGTAAGCAGTCTGTTCAAAAGAATTCAAGGGGCACCTGGATGGCTCAGTCGGTGGAGCATCTGACTTTGACTCAGGTCATGATCTCGTGGTCCGAGCCCCACGTAAGGCTCTGTGCTGACAGGTCAGAGCCTGGAGTCGGCTTCGGAGTCTGTGTTTCCCTCTGTCTCTTGCCCTCCCCCACTCATGCTCTGTCTCTCTCTGTCTCAAAAATAAATATAAACATTAAAAAATTTTTTGGAAAAGAATTCAGAATTACTGTGGAACATACATTCTTTACAAGAGCAAATGGAACATTTATAAAAAGGAAAACTGAGGCTTGGGGTTCATGGCGGGCTCAGTTGGTAGAGCCTGCAACTCTTGATTCTGGGCAGGTGAGTTCAAACCCTGCACTGGGTATAAAGATTACTTAAAAATAAGATCTTAAAAAAAAAAAGAAAGGAAAACTGAGGCTCAGCGAGGTTCAGCGGCTGAGCGAATCCACAATGTGAACTCAGGTCCAACCCTGGGCACTGCTTTTGACCATTCCTTGCCACTTCGTGAATAATCCTCACACTTTCTCGGCTAATCCTCACAGTGACAACAAAGCTGCCAGACAGGTGTATCATTTCCGTTTCCTACATGGGGAAACCGAGGCTCCCGCATCCAGCTACAGCAGTGAGTTACCAAGCCAGGACCAAAAATCAGTGTCACTGGGTTTGGGGCCATAATTGCCATTCTGAACAGTCTGACATTCTGGGAGTATCTGAAGCGAGGCTTGGATAACACCGGAAGGAAAACGATGGTTCCTTTTGTTAACTCACGGTCATCTGGGATTTTTTTGCTCCTGGTCCCTATGGGACATGCCCAGGCCCTCCTGAAAGTCTCCTACCATCAGTTTCTGGCCATCAGTGGAGCAAGGGAAAGGTGTCCGGGGTCGCCCTGGGAATGACAGTGGGCAGACCGGCCCTGCCACTGTTCCAGACAAATCCTCGTCATCACTGATACACGACCTCTCCCGTAGCAAGACGCTGGGCCAGGGTCCCAGTGGGGCATGAGCCAGGACTGGGGCAGAGTGTGGGGCCACCAGGAGCTCCTGAGCTTGAAGGCCCCGCCCTACGCTTCTCGTGAGCTCAGACAACCCTCTTCCCCACCGCGCATCGCAGTTTCCTCATCTGTGAACTGAGGGGAGCGGTGGGCCCTCTGCGTGGTTCTCAGCACACGCTCTGTGTCTCTGTCTGGCCGGTGCCTGATCCCCACGCCTCTTGTCACCCCGCACAGGTGCCTTCCTGTCCACAGCTCCGCCTTCTCCCCGAGGAACGTAGTGCTCCTGCTGCTTCTCTCTCTCTCTTTGGAGGACACATCTGCATCGCCAGTGAAAAGAGACAAAAGTGGGTTGAGGGAAGCCACGGCCACGCCTCCTTCAGGAGACCTTCCTGGGACTGAGGGTCGGACAGGAAGCAAGGACTCGTGTGTCGGAGGAAGCGATTTCTACTGTGGCTTCAGAGGACTAGCCCTGCTCACCCACCCTGGGACCCTTGAATCCTTCCCTCACTTGCTCCCCCAAATTACTCCCAGAGCACCTTGTAAGCAGACAACCCTCGCCCATTCACTCAACCCCCATTTCCACATGTCTCTTCTTGCCCCTTATGTACTTTTTCATTTTGTGATGTGAAGAACTGATAAGGCCGTACATTGTTACCTCTCTCAGGCTAAAAGCATTTTGAGGGGCACCTGTCTGGCTCAGTTGGTTGAGCATCTGACTCTTGATTTTGGCTCAGGTCCTGATCTCACTGTTTGTGAGATAGGGCCCCCGCTGTCTGCAGAGAGAATCCTGCTTGGGATTCTCTCTTTCTCTCTCCCTGTCTCTCTGCCCCTCCCCCAGTCACCGGTGCTCGCTCTTTCTCTCTCTCTCTGAAAATAAATAAGTAAACTTAACAAAATTAAATTAATAAATACATAAATGCATTTTTGAAAACAGCAAGCGGGCGCCTGGGTGGCTCAGTCGGCAAGTGTCTAGCTTCAGCTCAGGTCATGATCTCATGGTTCGTGGGTTCGAGCCCCGCGTTGGGCTCTGTGCTGACCGCTAGCTCAGAGCCTGGAGCCTGTCTTCGGATTCTGTGTCTCCCTCTCTCTCTGACCCTCCCCTGCTCATGCTGTCTCTATCCCTCTCTCAAAAATAAATAAAACATTAAAAAAAAAAAAAAGAAAACAGCAAAAGAGGAGGGAGGAAGAAAGGAAGAGAGAGAGAGACGAAGAGGCAGAGACTGTCTTTATGCCAAGAATGCACCTGTATTATTGGTGGAACTTCAGTCATTGCCAGGAGTCCTTTCCAGATCTCCTGAACCATACTATGTGGCTGCCTGAAAGGAAAGACTTGTAGCAATTTACTGTTTCCCAGCCCCGCACCTGTATTCTAATCCTGTATCCTCTCCGAACTTTACAGCAATGTCTGGATTGTTCAGAATGGCAATGCCCCAAACTCAGTGACAATGATTTTTGATCCTGACTTGGTAGCTTACAGCTGTAGTTTCCTCATCTACGAAATGGAAATGATACACCTACCTGGCAATTTTGTTGTCACTGTTAGGATTAGATGAGATTCTGTGAAGATTACTCATGAGTGGTATGGAATGGTCAAAAGCAGTGCCTGGAGTTGGACTTGAGTTCACATTGTAGATCCTCCGCTTGCCAGCTATTGTAATCTTGGCTCAGCCACTGAACCTTTTTGAGCCTCAGTTCTATTTTCTTTTTTTTTCAATATTTTATTAAAAATTTTTTGTAAGTTTATTTAGAGAGAGAGAGAGAAAGAGAGAGTGGGGGAGGGGCAGAGAGGGAGAGAGAGAGAATCCTAAGTGTAGTGCAGAGCCCAAATCAGGGCTCAAACTTGATGATTTGTGAAATTATGACCTATCAGAATCAAGAGGCTTTTAACCTACTGAGCCATCCAGGCACCCTTAAGATTTTGTTTTTATGTAATCTCTGCACCCTAGGTGGGGCTTGAACTCACAAGCCCAAAATCAAGAGTTGCATGCTCTACTGACTGATCCAGCCATGAGCCCCAAGCCTCAATTTTCCTTAAGAGAAATATAACACATCTACTTCATAGACATGAGAATTAATTGAACTATTGTGGAAAACATAGTGACTGGCATATTAGTGCTTAACATATTTTAGTCAGTAAACAATTTCCTGAATGCAAAAAATATCTTAAAAATATTTAAAAATATATTTTAGCTTTTGAGTTTCCTGTAGAAGATT